GACGACTACAGGCTCAAAAGAGAACGGTATAGCACAGCTTATACATCAAGTAAATATTACATCACAAGCCATATCGCGTGCTTCTGCCAGAAAAAACGGGGTTTATGTAGGCATGTAGGAACTGTGTCTTTAGCTCAAAAAAAGATCACAACAAAAAACGAAAAAGAAAATTCTGACTAAAAAAAGTTCATATACTAAAACGACCACACAACATCCATCTTGATTTTTCTCTAAATCCACACGTAGATTTTATTCCTTCACTGCCATTGAAATCATACTACTTGAGGCACTTTTCATGTAAAACCAAGAAAGCTCAACTCACAAGGTCATAGCAAAGACTCTTAATGGAACTGATTATCCCTGACTACAATACACCTTCCTTCTCATTCAAACGCAACGGCATAGTAAAAACACTTTTTAAACTCCAAGTTGAGAGATTCAAAGTCTGAAAACTACAAGACATTCTCATTTTAGCACAAAATAATCAATTTCTTTTCACTTCTCTGCCAACCTTACCCTAGCGTTTCGTACTTTTCATGCTGCAGCACAAAGCCAGTACCCACATCTGCACAAAGACTTCCACTGCTCAAACTGGTGTGCAAAGCATTGAGGAGTCTTGGGTCAGTCTTGGCAGTACAGGAGCAATCCACCTCAATTGGACTACACATTTTGCATTTGAGGGTATCACATATGGATAGTTAATTGTTGCTTTTCCTCCCAATAGCAACAAAAAAGCAAAAAAGAAACCCTCCTCACTTTCATGGCTATTCTTTCCAGGCTAGAGATTGAGGGCAGTGACTACCCAATTCTACCCAACGTACAAGCCGCGTTTTGAACAATTTTCAAAGCTGGCCCAAAATATAGGTCACAAATAATAATCAGTCTAAAGAAAGACCAGAGGTGTCTGCACTACTGGAGATAAGCAGGAACGCTTTCTTTTACTAGACTCCTTCATGAAAACAAAATGTTTGTGATGGCAACTGAACTAAAACTTCTTTTTAGACATAAAGACTTCGTGAATAGGAGTAGACTGCTATACTTTACCTGTTAGCACTTGCATGGTTTCAGAATGCATATATCATGACACTGACAGTACGGAAATTATTAGGTATTTATTTTGCTATTGGTGCCAAGGCCACAGTTGTGTGAGGCATTGCACAAGCGTATGAAATCCTTGCCCAAAAGAGCTTGTAAACCACCTGTTTGTTAACACAGTCACTGTATTTCAACCCCTCTACCTGCAACAATATCCTCTCATGGGGCAGACTTGCCTGGTCTGATCAAATATTCAGTCAGCAGAGTTAACACTGAACCAACATAAAAACTGGGCTCAACCTCTAAGTTCACAGGATACAAGACTCCTATGACAGGGCTTGCACTTCAGTCCCACCTGAGGTTACCCAAGATGTATCTTAAATTTCATTTCCCACCGGTCAAAATATTCCTCTTCAGAGCTCTCTAAACTGAGGGCGTGTGGTAAGGGAGAGAAGAGAGTTCCTTACCTCTTGTGCAGTCAGAGCATGTTCCCCTGCCAGAAGAAGCATACTGAGGCCTCCCATTTGTGTAGGATCTGTTAAAAGAGTAAAACCAAGTCTTAAGTTTATTCATTTGCTTGTTTAAAGAACCTACCATTTGCAGTGTTAAACCCCCAGAAGACTACTTGCCACAGACACTCTAAGCAAGCTGCCATAAAAGGCAGTTCAAGAGAATCACAAATAACCATTTCTGTACCCTCTGGGAGAGGCTTTCAAAGCTGTTTGAAGGATTTAATTGGATTTGTGTGCTTAACACCCCATTGCGAGGATTTACAATTTTACTGCCAAAGGTTTTATGTATTGCAGAGATGGGTATCTTTAAAACAGCAACTGTTATGATCTCATACATAAATATACACGAAGATGCTCTAATATTGCACATTTATAACCCAACGGATGCTCCTACTGAGGGAGAGGTTCCCTTCCTTGGCCACTGAACAAGTAAAAGGATGGAACAAAATTACATGATCAAGCTTTGAAGCAAAATTTCTGTTTTCATTTAGCTTTAATTTAGAGCTGCATTTAGTGGTGAAAAGTGCCAGCCTGACAGCTCTGAAGCATGAAGTGCTTGATCCTCTGTGCCAGAACAGTGCAGGCACTGGCCAGGCAAGCTGCCTTTGTTCCCCTGCCAATAAAATATACAATTGAGGAAAGTAGAATAGAGATATAAATGTTCTTTCTCCAAGTATTTGACGCTGACAGCTCCTCGCCTCCAGCCTTCCTGCACCTCAGGAGCTCGGAAAACAACAAGTGAAAGCAATAAACACTGGCACTGCATTACTCACGGAGTGGTTTTTCCACTCAGAACAGTGGTTGCTCTTCATCGTTATGAAGACTAATTGTCTGATTTTGGGGGAGTGTCTTGGAAGTAATGTAGGGGCCCGACTTAACAGAGAGTCATGTAGAGAGAGGGGCAGTCTGAGCCCCAAACGTCTCAAGCAACAGCCACAGTGCAAGAGGAAGGGGCGCATGTCCACCTCCCACGGTCCCAGCAATCCCTGCAGCTCTCTTCTCCGGTTATTCCAGGTGGAGTTCATCTTTCTTGTACGTGAATGATCAGCAGGGCAACCATGTCAGATAAGCTGTGCTCTGTTCAATGGCATTGACTCTTCTCTACAGTTCCTAAAAACACTTCACCTGACACAGTGCAGTACAGCACTTTCTTATGCCCATATCGCACTGTTGGCTCCCAGCTGCTCTCTTGTGCTTCCCTTCAGCTACCTGTGGGTCTTCTTCTTCATCCTCAGTTTTGGCCAGCTGGAGAACACCCAGCTTACGGCTTTAAAATTCTTCCCCCTCTTCTAAATATCTTCTTGGTGGTCTCAGCTTTCTGCCCTTCAAATATGTAGCTTATCGTAACAGGACAAGGATAGGACTGTTTTTTTTCCCTAAGTAAGCAAATACTTAAACTGTTTGTTTAAAAATAAAAATTAAGAGGAAGGAAAAAAATTACAGCTAAGTGGAAAGTGAAAGTTTAATTTAGTGCTTAAACAACTCGAATACTTATGCTGCAGCTGTAGCAGAGAGCTGGCACTTAGATGCCTGATCATGATAGAAACAAAAAAGCTTTCCACTAAGGTTTCAAATTACAAAATAACTTCATCTAAGAGAAGACAAAATATATATACAAACACTGCCATATGTTTATAGTGCCTTTTCAGCACAACAGTGTTTCTCTTATGGCACTAAGAACTTACTGGTATGAAAAATTAAGAATTTTAAGTGCCATTTTAAAGCAATTTACAGTTAAATCAGTTTCTCACAGTAGTGAGAAAATAGCACACATATTTGACTTGCAAAACAGCAGGCGATGCGCAATGTTCTCAACAGCTTTTAATATTGAATAAACTTACAACCATCTCACTATTTGGGAATGACAGACTTTGTTAGCATTGCTCTTGTTAAAAACTCAGC